AAAGTGTGGGTTCTATTTCTATGGTATAATTTCAAGTGCTACTATAGATAACATAAGTATATCTTCTACAGTTAATACATCTGACTGCTTCTTTTTTTAAATAAATAGTTCTTTCTTGATTATTAAAAATATAAACATAAAAAATTTAGATTTTTCAAATAAATCAACTTTAATAACAATCGTTAATTCTTAATAGGTAATTTTTTAAACTTTAAATTAAAAATGAAATATTTTTATCATATTAAATAGATTGTACTTTAAAATATTCTAATTGATAGCTGTAAATTAAGTGAAAATTTCAGTATATTAACCTAATAGAGTGATGTTAATGTTATTATTGATACTTTTGTAATTTAAAATAATCTATGTGACATAAATTAAATTTACTATCCACAATTCTCTGGTTAGCTATTTGAAGCTGGTGAGTTCAATGTAGCTAATATGACAATATCCAATAATCAGTTTTGTAATTTATAGATATTCTCAACTGTCAGCACAATCGAACAAAAAAATTATACCTTTTAGTTCTAGAATATAACTATGTACAATAACTCATTTTATACAACACACAATTATCTCTTTTTTGATGCTATTTATTCAATAAATCCTCTTCCCTAACACACTTTAAATATGAGTTATTTAAATTTCACTGATAATTCTTACTTTCCCTCTTCTTAAGTTTAATCAGATATCAACCTCGGAATTACTTAATTAGTTCTAACTGAACAAATTTTTTCAGTTTTAATAACTGAAGTTACATTAAAAAACCAATAAGAAATAGCATTTTGTTCATTATCCTAATCTTCTCTAGTCTCAATTAGCAATATTTCTTGCTTAAATGATAAAAAATTTTTTGATAGTTTAGTCAATAGAGAGTATGGTGGATGTTTAATTTTCAATGAAATAAAAAAGATTATCATAACTAATCTACAATCAAGCTATATAAAAGCAATAAGTAATTCTATTTTAGTAATAAAAAATTAAGCTTACACAAATTCAGTAATAAATTTATCAAATGTAGTTATCACAAATTCATATTTTG